CGCACACCCCATATAAAAACACTTTGAAGAACTATTTGTCAATGATATAACAAAACATTTCCCATAACACGTAATAGAATTTTCAACAGCGAATTAAAAAGAAGAAACGAGACCATAAATTGGCTGACAGTAATTGATGAATTTTTAAGAATTTCAAGAATTTTAAGAGCAATTTCCCGATATTCTCTTCATTTGGGGTGTGCCAGACATAGAAGGTATAACAGAAGGTTTTTGAACCACTGGATTTACTAACCTTTGGGTTATCCACGAGTAACCCCAAAAGGGTATTCTTTGATCTAACCGAAAAAAAAAATTGTTTATTTCGCGAGTTAAGATCAGAATGAATTGATCTAATTTGATTTTTAAAAACGCTAATGAGAGGCACAATACGCACCACTACAAATACTAAACAATGTCTTATCAAACTAGGCAACATTAACAGACCTCAATGAATTACACTACGTGAAAATGCCAAGAATGGATAAATAAGTATTATCCTAGCATCAAGTATCATTTATGGATAATGCTAAAGTCCCCAAGTAATTTTAACTATATTGTTTTCTTTTGATTTAATACTTCTACTAACACTATTTTTCATATCATCAATCTTTATCGTTATGATGGATTTTGTGTTATTAGTCTACTGAAGGAAAACAAAATACAGTCGGATTATTCTCAACATTACTATGATTATCGAACGTTATTGCCTGCGTCTTTACAGCAGCATTTGTATACTTCCCATATAATTATTTAGAATGTAGTAAGACGAAGTAATGTAATCCCATTTTAATAACTTCTACGATTGTTCTCCCCAGTTGTCTGCAGAAGTTTTTTTTTTAAAGATAAGAAGAACATGTAGAAGTCTTATGAAAATGGTGATTTACTACCAATACTTCGCTTTAGGTCCCTGGTAATTATATTTACACAATGATACTTCCTTATTCTTTTGTAAACATGAGGTGATTTGTTGGAGTCAGCATTGTTATATTTGTTGAGGTTTTGTTCCCTATTATTGTATCAAAAGGAACTCGTATGTAAATATGTACAACTAAATCATTCATACCCCTTGTAAATTTGATGTGTTTTTTTGTGGTAGAATATGGGCCTTTGTTGAATACTTTTAGATATAAGCTTTGATATGTCACATTCTCACGAAATATAAATCAGGAACAAGTGCATTTTTCAATATACCTAACAAATCAAAAAGAATTGTTAGGGGTATGAATAATTTAGTTTTATAACTCTATATTCTGTGAAAAAAGATATTATTGAAAATGACTAATCCCAGATATAAATTTTATCAACAAAATAATCTTCTTTCGGAAAATTGAAAAGGAACGCTCAACCAAGAAGACAGTCCCTGCTCAGCCCTCACAAGACACAAGGCGTGTTTATAATTTCTAGAATACCCCCATCTTCCAATGTATGTACACGGGAATGTTATCTCTCTCACACCCAACACACAATTTATGTAGGCAATATAAAAGGGAAATGGCCATCATTTTGTTCTAGTCACGATTTCTTGCTCTTTTTATATCAAATAGAGTTTGATAAAATATGTTACGAATTCTGAAAAAGCTGCAAAGCAGCATTATGAATAAATGAGTAAATATCACTTCTTCTTGATGGGCTATTTTCACAAATCGTCTTTATTTGGTTTGTATTATCATTCTATTGTTGTACCTCACTGTCAATGATAATCATCTCTCTCTCTCTCTCTCTCTCTCCCTCTCTCTCTCTCTCTTTATAACTAGTAGAAATAATTTCTCCCCTCCTATTAGTATTCACTCCATACCCCCTCTTTATTTTCGTTGTTTCCACCCCCTCTTCTCACTCTCTCTCTCTCTCTCTCTCTTTATTTTGCTCTCTCCCTCTCCTCAGCTATATCCCTCCGTACCTTTATTTCTCATTCCTTATATATTTGATATCACATGTGTAGGCTTATTAATATTCATGCAATGAATAATTCGTTGTATTTTTCGTTATGTTAATACTCTATTTTATTTGTACAATATATGTTTATATTGTATTATTCTAGTTGTTCCTATAGACCAATACATGAATCAATAATGAATTAATATACCGAACATAAGTGTATAAACGATACTTTAACATAGACATAATATTACCAGGGTTAAAATGGGAAAGTAATTTCCCGAATTTATTTGGATATTATAGCACACTTTGTTTGTGCATTTTTCATTCACCAAATATTTGTTTTAAAGTGTATGTCTAAATATATCATTACAATTAAACTCGTTGCTCACGTAGCCTATTTTATAGTCTGTGTACAGCTAAGCTCTTTCGGGATTCACCAACTAACTACGTATCACAGCAATTGTAAAAAAAAACGTCTCGTGTAAATACTATTACTTATGCAACGTGACTGAATGTCGTTTAGCAGCCATTTTTGAGGGGGAATCTAAATTTGCGCTTTTTCTATGATTGACATGGCCCTGCTGATGTCATGACCGTCATCGTTAGCAAAACAGAACCTGACGGACCAATATTCGACACCTTTTTCTTTGGAAGCATCTCTCAGTGGGATGACTATGTACACAGTGAATCATCATAACCATAACACCATTGACAGACTCGGTTTTCACCCTCGAAAAAAAGTAGATATGTGTGCAAGACATAATGGCATTTTTTAAATATATGCAACGGTTGTTGTACAACAAACATGTCTGATTACATTTGAAGCTTGTATGTATGTTTCAAGAATATGTACTTAAAACAACAAGGATTCTCGGTGACGTTTCCCTGACGTCACTAATCGATTTAAACAAAAGAATATTCTGTGCCCTATCATAATCTTGCCTATCTATGATTATTTCAATTTTTTAAAAGCAGATATTTCTCTAAACGAAAACAATTTTTTTTATCGACAGCCATGCCATGAAAATCATCTTCCATTTTCATTCATATAGCTAAGTACATAATTCTCTTATGAATGTATGGAGGTGTTGACACCCGTGTTGACATTCAAAGTCCTACTATATTTTTGCTTATTTTTCTAGTATTGTCATACCGATTATCACATTAAAGTATAATGTAATCATGTAGTGACATAATATGCTTCTGGGGCAGGAGGCGTTTATCAATTATTATATTATTATTGAAAGGACAATATATTCAGAGGCGAAAGATCTAATTTAACAACAAAAAAGCCTCGTGATTGATAAATGTAGACCTACTCTCTTATGTCAGGCTGAACCACGCTGTTTATTTTTAAAACGAACAATGGATCTTGTCTATAATACGTATAAGCGTTAATATAAAAAAAAAAAAGCACATATGCCTATACTTCACCCTATAGCATGTCTTCTCGTGGCAAAGGGCATTTTCGTAATGTAATCAAATTGTTGAATATTCCTTTGTGAAGAGGCTTGGTACGAATTATGTTGTTCATCTGTTACGAATAAATGTATCTCATTAGCCAGAAATTCAAATGAATGAAATCATTAGAATCGAGGCACTTAAGTTTAAATTTGGTTACTTGAAGAATATGGCCTATTGTGTAACTAAAGTGGTGTGCATTACTGATAATTGTATAAAAGATAAGTGCTTTATCACACGATAAAGCGACCTGTGTTTGATAATATTCTGCTGTGACCCACTAACTCGACACGTGGATATAGTTTTCTGAATCTTCACTGTCTGCAGCGGTGAGTTCTACGTTTTGTCAATGCTAATAATGCATACCTGAATAACCAGCAAAATCAAGAAGGTCAGAAGAATATATTGCTATTTGAGTGATGCTATTAACCCAGGCAAAGTAGTGCAATATTTCTTTACGTACATGTGTATAGAGTAGATTGCAATGCATATTAATCTAAATTATTTGCGTATAACTAGAAACGATTTGATAACCGAGTTTGTATATTATGGAGTAGTAGCCTTCATTTAAGGCAAGCTAAGACAGTTTAACAATGTAAAACTGCGCTTTAAACACATTTATTCAATTGGTCAATTATTTGATATTTGTACTTATTAATCTAAGGCATTTATTTCCCTGCAGCTTTCTGTTTGTTTCCCCTTCTTTCTTACTTTTTCTTGAGAACTTGTACAGAGGTGTAATGCGCTATACATGTGATGTATAAGAACAAACTCCAAACCGACTCAACATCAACCGAGTCTTGGCCATTCAGGGGATAAGGTAATTTTTCTCGATCTGCTGTCGGCCTGAGTCGGTCACGTTGGATAATGCAATATAAAGGCAACTTTAAAAAAAGAGGTAAATACTTTTCCAGTGGGCCTGCTTTGTCACCTGAGAAACAGTTATTCTATTTCCTAAATAAGCCAGTTTATAGTTGCAGTTTGAGCATGAGCAGATAAAGGTGATTGTAGACCAAATTGTGAAATACACGGAGACAAAATACTTGATACATGCTCATGAAAGTTATTTAATCATTTTTCATTTATGTACAAGCAGTGCACTCCATGATACACAGGTGGAAGTATTCTTTGAAAAGGGGAAACAAAGGGTATTTATGTAGCACCTTCATCGCTGTAGGAGTGATTATTTCAAAATGTACAAAGTGGGACCTCTTCACGTTTTGAAGATCTATGGATATTCGGGGTCATTTAGGACTTACTTGTGCTAACCGTGAACTGGTCTATACGGGACTGTGACGAATCTTACGAATAATCATTTTTTTAAAATAAGTTAATGTTGCACACGCGCGGCTGATTTGAGGTGCTGAAGGGAAGGTCAATTAAAACACAAAGTATGGGTAACATTTTTATTGTGGTGCTGTAAGGTGCTGAAGATGATGATTCCAACAATGTGGAATCATTTCGTTATAAAAGGGATTCGATTGGAAAACACCCAGTCATGATTTCACATCACTGGGTAATCAATCATTAACCATACTGCAATTATACTTTTAACGAACTATAGCATGTTAGTTCTAAGAAAGTAGTATAGTAAAGCAGTAGCGAGAAAATATATTTGAACAAAGTGAAGGCAAAAGCCAAGAAAACATGAATTGCCTTACCTGTCTTCGCATCTGTTGGTGGGGTTTCCATGGCGAGGTATTCCAAATGTTAATTCCCAAGATTAGAACAAGACCAAACGGTCTCCAAATAAATTCGCTTGAAATTGGCGTCGCAGACAAAGCTTCAAATTCGCACAGGTAGTATTCATGTTTCCATTTCAAATTTTCCAACGGATGTTTTCATCATGCAGTCTCATGGATACTTTTACATTTAATAGTCACACCCCAACCAGACTCCAAATCGGCCTATTATTATTGTTATTATGTGTGTGACTTGACGGGTGTCACAGCCTCAATTCACCTTCCCTTTGTGACCGACACTATTGACAACTCTAATCACTTCCTTCTCACGCTTGGCAGTATCACTGCAGCGACACCCGGCCGTTTCCTTATCCAATGTTCTCGGCCAGCTCAATACAACGACAAGAGTCGTTCACCTTGTCTGACAAGTCACGCGAAAATGTAACAAAGCAGGCGTCCTCAAGTAACGATGTAGGCTTCAATACTGCTTTCTCAATAGCCACAATATATATATCAACCATTTGGAGGGGCATGGATTTGTAGTGTATTCTAGGTCCACAGGAGGAGGAAGTAAACAAACGTCTGTGTCATTTTTCCCTATATTCACAAATTCTAAAGTAGATTATGTTAACGTTTTCACATCTAGCGAGTTAACTTAGTCATGGATAGGTAACCATCCTCCATTTACGTCTTGAACTATCATTCAAATAAAGCATCGACCCACTCTTGCAAAGCACGATCGTCGTTTCTCTAGATTTCCAAATTGAAAAACTGGCACTCCTTGACTGAAATCCAAATATTATGGTCGATGAGTTTCGTTACACCCTCCAAAGAAACCAACGGTAGGGAAGAGTGAACGCAGACACAAAAAAGTTCATCAAAAATCATAGACAAATCAGTGTGAACGGTTGATTGCGATTGAAGGTGTGGGCCGAGTGACGTCCACTAAATGTGTCATTACAAAATATTAACAGGTTAAAATAACCTTGACAAAGATTCGCAAACATATTTGGTGGTGAGATACTTAGCTGTCATGAAAAACGATATCAAAACGATATCCCGTTCACGGATAAAATATGTTTCCAATCGTCAGGATGGTGAGGCAGATAAGATCGTTGAAATGAGAAAATTAATGAAGATAAATAGCTCGAGAAAATAAATGAAGATAAGTAGCTCAATCAAACTAATTAACAAAGAAGATATATGTTAAAACCATTGGAACTACAAGTAGGCTACATGTATTTGTTCAATGTTCTATAAACTAAAGTGTCGTAGAAGCTATGTCTGTGTAAAAGGTCACGATAGAGCCTATCAGTTAAGTATCGTTGTTTTATTTTATCTCAATGCTCAGAAAATTGTGTGATCAAGTGCCTCCTAGTCAACGATGCAGACTCCAAGAGTTCACCCAAATAAAACAAATACAAGTCGACATATCCAGAAAATTCAATCCTTCATCAGCGTGATCTCTCTAAAAATTAGACTAGCTGGCATCCTATTCGGTCATCCATAATGTTTTTCTTTTTCAGCGTTTCTAATCACTATAAAACAGCTCCATGGCTACAGATCTTTGAGGAGATGATAACCCCAAATTCGTGACTTAAGTTGTCTAGTGCATCTGTATGGAAGCCATTATGTACACTGCTTTGTTTTTATTATCAACCTCAATATGACTTAGCAGTTGACTACTACAGTCTTGCACTATCTATCATCAATGCATGTCTCTTGGAGGGGAGTGTCATAGAACCATATTTGCTTGGTTTTCTCATCAGGAGCAAAGTTCAAACCTGAAGGTCCAGTTGATTAAAATAGAGCGATGAGAACGTGTAGTAATTGTCAAATAACGTGAGACCTGGTGACGTTACACGTGGTTGGTTCCTTTTTGGGTGTGTTCGTACGAGATTTTATGTTTCTTGTTCATACGAGATTCCCGTTTTATGTTGTGCATAACTTACTCGATCTGAAAAGTTGACAATTTACAGAAATTCTGCTTTGAAAGTAGCGAACATACCCTATGGAAAAAAACGAGTAGCCTAGGAACAAACGACTGCCATTCTAAAAAAAAAAATATGAATCAATTTTCATATTTAAGTTTGAAAATTTGCTAGCATTATGGGTCTTTTTTCTTTCCTGATTTGACATTAAACACATGCCGCAATAAAGCTTTCTAACTGAAATATCTTGAATAAGTAAATCCGGAATAACACATATAATGGACGCAATCAATGTTGACGAAATAATGAGAATTAGGACATCGCTTGTGATGATATTGTGGGGCAGTGTTGCAGCACTTTTTACCCAGGAACGTATATGGGTATTGTATTTGCACAATCTATAGGACCATCATGAGACTTCTCAAAACCCACCTTTTGAATCAGTTATAACATATTCCATTCAACTGAATTGTATTTAATCAGTTATATTTTATTTTATTTTATTGCTTTCAAGCTATTGAACATAATTATATATAATTGTTTATAGACAGTACCAACCCAGAAACTAAGAAGCTTAGAAACGCCTATATATATATAAGGCGCCCTATGAATGTGATTATTATTATTATTAATTATTATATTGACAATGCAGTAAAGCAATTCGCGTTGATGCACAATTTTTTTTCAACTGTCGGAAAACGGAAATTACTTACATTATTAAATTCGAGACAGGTGATGGGGATTTTTTTTTTTAGATAATTGGCCTGATTACTTTCAGTTATCTTAAATGTTTGATGTCTCTACGCCATAGTAACTTAATTTGATGTGTTGATATTAATTTCTGTATTTAATGCTGAAATAGGAAATATTCTTTATCAAAATTTTACTTTGAAATATTAGCTTTGTCGTAGTAGCTCTGCTACAGCGAGTGATATATTGATAGGGAGTTTACCTGGTTGCAATGAATTTCGGCAGCGCGGTTATTTAGGTCATTACATGCTCTTATTCTGGTGTAAGTCGGGGATGTTAACGAAGCTAGCTGAGAGAAACAGTAGATGTAAGTTTCTACTTCATCTCCTTTTTATGAAGTGTTTTCATGTAATGTTATTATAATAAGAAGCTACATTTCAGGAAGAGTAGTTGTCAAGGAGACTTGTATAATGTTGAATTTCATTACTTTTACTTATAGAAAGTTAAATTGGTTCACGGACAACGTGGTTAGTGACCTTGACTTTTTAAGGGGAAAGTTTTCTCGAAAATCTAGATTTTATTCCTTATATGAACTACATATTATCCTTATGCAGTAAAAAGCTGATTATTGGGAAATGAGGAACATTATTTGGAATGTTTGCTTTACATTTAATTTTCTTTTATTGATTGAAATCAATCGAAAACTTAGATCAATTGGAGCCGTGTTATTTTCATGAGGACGTAGCGGGCGTGCGCATGTAAACATTGTATTTTAAGATGGTGGCGCCCGTGCCCATGTCATGGTATGAAACGTTTTTGGTATTTATCTGTATAAAAGTTGAACCAGTATTCACAATGTATAGTGCAATTAAGTTGTTTAAATTAATAGTGACATATGTTTGTTGATCACAACTCTTTAATATGATTTGATGAATAGATGCATTAGGACTTGATTTTATTTAGACAAAAACAGTAGTGTAGACTGTAGTGGATTTAATGGTCGTGTAGTTATATGTTTTTAGCTTGACCTGTGACAGGCATCGTGAGTGAAGATGACCTGTTTCCTGCCGGTTCTAGACATGTCGGTTGTTCACGGTTGGTGACCACCAGTAGCCTTTTGACTTTGGGTATGCATTTATTATTACATTTTCTAAATTCTACTTCGCACAATTTGTTGAAAGATGTTAACTGTGTCAGATAAATGTTTAATTTAGGAATATAATTCAGTAAAGACTATTTGTGTCAAGAAAATATTGTTTTGAATATACACTGAATGTAATTCATGTATGCATATTTGATATAGCTTGTAAGGCTCAATCAGGAGAAAGTGTTTGATATTTAACATCTGGATGCTTTGATTAGAAATGAATATTGTTTAAAGACATCGTTTGACAATGTTAAATATGAGATGCATGGCCCTTCGTGTTATTAATGTTTGTGATAAGGTGTAATATTGAAGCCCTAAAATAATTGCGCTTCAAAATTATCACGAAGTGCCTCAAAAAAGTATAAATCTTTGAGTGACCGGTTTTACCATACTCATTTTCCTCAATAGACTGTAGTGTTATAAAAACCGTCAGCAAAACGAATTTTTAAATTTCGATTTCCAATAATAAGTCTTGATAATCAGACAGGCGATCGGCATGTAAAAGTCATGGGGTTCCTGACTGACCTAAATGTTCAATAATTATCATTGCAGCATGAGCTAAATCCAGGATTTTGTTTCAGAATCTGAGACAAAGTTACCTAATCCCTTCAATGGAAAATGTGTCATTCCGCATTCATTATTTGTTAAATGATGTGATACATTATAATGATGTTATTTATAATTTGTAGTTTTCTATGTGATTGCAGGGTTTTCCTGTTGATGCAAACTAAAATAAAATCTTAAAGCAAAAATCTGGTGTCCCTGAGCTTTAACCGAGTTCACTCTGCTCCCTAACACGGCCCACCCCGGGTATCTCATTCAGGCCACCCCACGACACTACCTTCTTCTAATACTTTTTCATTCCTATTACTCTTCTTTCTTTCTCTGCTCTTTGCCCCTCTTTATCCTCTTCTCATTTGCTAATACCACAATAAACTGAACAACACTATGCAGCAGCAGTTACAACATCACCGACATCAACAACATCAACAACTAATATTAGAACTGCTACTGCCAATGATAATAATAACTGCAACATTAACAACAATTACGATGATAATAATAATAATAATAATAAATAATAATAATAATAATAATAATAATAATAATAAAGTAATGATAATAATAATAATAATGATGATAATAATAATAATAATACAAAAAGACGAGATATGTTTAAAGCAGTTGTGATATAAAAGCCATCGTCAGAAAATGGAGAAAAAAATGACTTTAAAAAAATGTACAAACTTCGACAACTGATGGCGCTTGCCTTAAGCATGCCTAACCTATATTGACCGAGTACAACCACGGCGTTGCAAAGCTCATATGAACTTGGGTAGACAAGAAATGAAAATATTGCTTCATCACACTCAGTTTTTTGATATACTATAGTCAGTTTTTAATGAGATCAAATTGCTTTCAGTGTCCAATCCGAGGTACGGGTGGGGGGGGGGGGGCAACGGGGACACGTGCCTCTCGGCTGATAAAGAAAGGGGGAGGAAGAAGAGGGCCCATGAGCCTATTTTATTCTTTGCTTATTCCATAATTTTCTGACTTGTCTCCCCCTTGCCAGAGAACCATGTATCTGCAACTAGCTTCGACGAAAATCACTAAAATGCAACATTTTATACACTTTATTAACATATCTATCGACTATTTTTCAGTTGTTTTCAAACAGAGTAGTTTCGTTTTAAGCCCAATTTCGGACCTGCGCTCCAAGAGAGTTTCGATAAACACTGCATGAATTCATTTCTACATAACGACATTTATACTATCAATAACTATAAAATATATGAAAATCAGTGGAAAATCACTTTTAAAATGTAAATGCTATTCATAATTAAACAACCCCCCCAAAAGGAGAAAAAAGTAAATTGGAAGGAAATAATATAAGTCCATCAATCTGAGTTACGTGATTGTATGAAAAACTTGGTCTAAAAATATATTTAGACACCACTCACTGTCCTAAACACACAAACACACTGAACACACAAACACTAAAACAACATAAACAAAATAAAAACAAAAAATATCAACAACCACAACATTCAGTAATACTGTGTAAAGTGTTTCATAGATTACAGGATGTATGACGTCATGATGAATGTGGATATTTGGGCAACGTAATAATGAATATGGTAATAATAATCGGTATTACAGTATTATTTTCATGAGCCTTATCACTGTCGAAGTGTTCTGTGGTCAAAGAAAATGTGACACTGTTGATTCAAGCAGGATACTGACAGTGCTCTTCTTTTGTACTAAGGATATGTGGGTCGGTCTAGTGGTCAACTCACTGGCCACGCCTACAAAATGACCAGGGTTCGAATCCAGGCCGTGCCTTTTGGATCGTGGTGTTAAAGATCAAAGTTGAGGTCAGGGGTGTTTCACAAAGACTAAGATCAACTTCAAGTTGGACTTAACTATGGCAGGCCATTCATGCCACTGTTTGCTTTCACCTTTTACTGGCATTGGTCTCTCAAGGAACATACAAATCATGGTTAAAACATCTACAGAATTTACATATTTTAATAATTCATTATAATTGAAGGAAAAATAAAACACAAATATCATAATGGTGAGAGCAAACAGTGGCATGAATGGCATGCAATATTTAAGTACAATTTAAAGTTGATCTTAGTATTCGTGAAACACCTTGGTCATTTAATAACACTGTTATAAACAAAAACTACCTGAAACTATTGACAATGATTGGGTAAGGTTGACTTCGTAGCCTACAAACTTAAAGAACAGATGCATACTGTGAAGTTAAAAAAAAAATCAAACTGGCAAGAAAATAACTCAAACGACATACATTGCACACAGAAAAGGGAGACGTGGATCTACACACAATGGTCACATACATATGACGTTCAAGTTTGGTCCACACATTTCAGCTATTTCTGAAATATTTTGAATATGAGGGCATTTGACAAGCGATCCTATTTCTACTAAGATATTTATACAAACTGACAATAACAGAATGAGAAAGCTTACAAGTAATTTTTTCATCTTTCTTTTCTTCTTCAGAAACTCAACATCCTCTTTCACGTCTGTGAACAAAGTTTAATCATACATCCCCACACAAACACACACACTACCCGCGCACGTAAATATTCCACACTCACACCCACACACACAACAGAAGAAGATGAACACTTTACATATTGTATGCATACGGGTTATACATGCATTGAGATGAAGCTGTGTGTCATTTAGTATTCGACTTTTTTTCTCATTATGAACAGATTGATGTAGAAGTAAAATGAAAGGTGAAACCGCTTTTATCTTCAGCGATTTGGGGCTTCTTACAGTACACGCGGTACTCTTTACATGACGGAGTTTAGAAAATGTGAATTCTATGAAAGCGGTGATACCTAAGGACTTTCATCTTTGTGATAATAATTCGAGAATTCTTACATTGCATGCTGCACTGTTTGTGGTGTCCACGGAAATGAGGAAATTTCATGTTCATTAAAACACCTTTCCAAAAATTGACATCTTCTTTCGTGGAACCAAGCTTGCCGATTCGAAGAAGTAGAAGAGTCTTGACATGTCTACCTCTGAAATCTCGAACTTGTCTGGCTTTTCCAGGCTACCGCCGATGATCACAGTGTCTACAAGCCTGAATGTCGAGGGTTGTGTTTTCTGGAAGGTGTCCATCCTGCCACGAACGACTCCTGGATTCCATTCACTAATGTCATGAACAATCACCGCCAACTTCTTCTTTCCTGGAATTTCAGAAATGGATGGACACATGGCCAAATTGGCATAGAATTTGAATTTCCTGTTTTCCTACAAAAAAAAATCATTTTCGTCTTTCTTTGGAACGTAGGAGGGTCTATAGGAAACCAATATCTTTCGATTAATATGTAATAACTTTAGTTTATATTACCTTACATACCCACTCGATCCCTCCGCTCTGCATCTCAATACCTCATTGAACCCACGAAAGACAGGACCAAGTCATACGGATCCAGAAGATTCTCATCTGCAGCTTCGCATCTCTGGAACTCTCTCCCCACTACCTTCCGAACCATCACAGACTTAACTTTCTTTCAATCTCAACTGAAAACCTACCTGTTTAAAAATCCTTTCTAATGTCATTTAAACTATATTATTGTATTCATCAAAATGTTATTACATTACTGTACTTTTATATAATTTGCCTTCATCTCTCTGTAATTGATGTTTATAATGACTGATTATTATTAATGTTTTCCTTATTTTGATATTTATTTAGTTCATGAATTAGTAATTAATATGTGTAATTTTGTTGTATTAATATATTGTAAAGCGCATTGTTATTTTCTTCGAAGATGAAATGCGCTATAGAAGTCTAGGTTATTATTATTATTATTATTACTCATATATTTTCAGTAATTTATCATCGCAAGAAATTGAATGTAAAGTCAAATGTAAAAAGCTTTTCTTTTTTCTCCTGCATTTTGCTTGGCTATAGCTATATATACCTTTTTTTTCTTCTTTTCTTTCTGTCTTGAAATAATGAGCAACATTAATTTTATGCACACAAATTACTTTGTACAAAATATGAGTACACTATTTGTGATGGTGCTTATCAATCTTTGCTCTAAGTGAAATCGAACATCCAGCATGCCCAGTACCCTCAGCTCAGACTGTCATTCACTTTAGAATAAACTATGACAATTGTAAACCTAGCATATGTCTGTTACGAGTTTACTCACCTATCTCTTTGGAACAATGCTTCAGATATTTATCGTAGATAGAATTCACGACGTCTGTGATTGAGAATCCTCGATTGCGAACCGAATGGCAAAGCACCATCACATCGACCGGGTCGCTTGAAGGAAACTTGAACGAATCGATATCGTTGTACGGTAGGCTCCGAAGACGGATGTCGGCGATCAAGCGTGGATGATCTGTTTTCAGCTTCCTAAGCCAGAAAATCAAGCCCTCGATGTTTTGCTCGTATGAAGAAGTACATACGGACACATAGATCGGCAAGGATGGACTCTGCTGCGCAGGAAGTTGTTGATGGTGTTGTGCAAGATGCTGTGTAGGAAGTCGTAAAGGAGGTTGTGAATGGCTTTGTTGTCCAGGTTGATGTCCAGCATATTGTCCAGTTTGTGGTCCAGGATATTGTGCAGGATTATGTGGTGATGTTATTGCGATGGCTTGTCCAGAACTGCATGATTCGAATTTCTCTGAAAGAAAACAAATACAAATTGTACTAAAAATGTAATTCAAATTTTGTTTGTTCGATAATTATAAACTTAAGAAACAAATGTCATGATCTAGGGAACATCAGCCTCTTCTGCAAGTGGTTTTAACATTCATTGTTTATTGATATTTTCTTGCTTACACAATTTAGGGCGTATGCGATATCTTAATTAAAGTTCACACACACACACACACACACTCACATATTGCATTATATTGTAGTTTATCAGTCTCTAAAGTCTAAACGATCAAAGTTAAGACTCTTATATCAACCGACTTCTTCCATACCGCCAAAATATTATCGGAAGTTAATGTCATTGTCATAATGAAATTCTTCCAATTTAAACTGAACATATATTCTTTTGTTTTGCAAAACATACTTAGAAAACTGGAAACACCACCAGTCTTCATTTCCTCAGGCTGTTCGGAGGCTCTTGTCAAGAAAGCGAGGAGTTGTGCCTTGGAGGGTTCAGGAAATTCTTTCCCTTCGACCAGCTTCCCACATATCAGAACTAGACCTGCGCTGTCAAAGGTTTTTGGTTGCTGGAGCCGAAAATTAGCAATGCGGTCCTGTAAGTCCTGGTCATTCAAATTGTCGAAGTCGTGAGCTATTACCGCAATCTTCTCTTTTCCTGGGAATTATGTTCATAGAATGATAATAAATGTATTTGACTGTATACAAAGACATGAATTCATGGCATCAAAAGTCCTAGTTGATCTAACAAAGCGTCGGAAACATTTCTGTTGCTGCCTAAAATCTAAAAGGTTTTGATCAACCTTTTAGTTGCAATTCTTTGTTTACTCCACTGAAATGGAAAACAAAATAATGATGATGATACTACGAATAATAATATATAAGTTTTGTGTGGCGCCAAATCAACTTAAAATCAAATGCTCAAGGAGTATTTGTGAAAAAGACAAATCACATGATAAGTTACTCAGTTGAAATATTTTACATGAAAAGCATCGTTAAAGAGACTATGATTGCTATTGTTAGGTGTAAACTCAAAATTTCTACAGTGTAAAAGATGAATTACCTAGAAGCTTTTTGCAATTCGGGAGGAACTTATTGTAGCAAGCATCAGCCACGTCGGTGAGAGCAAATCTTCTGTTTGCGATGGAGTGGCAGAGAATCATCACATCCACATGGATTCCCTTGGCAAATTTATAATTGTCGATGTTGTTGTAAGGGAGTTGATGGTAGGTAACATTCTTGATGAGATGGGGAAGTTGTCGCTGGAGATCCCTCAGGTGATCCAGAAGACCTTGGATGTTATACTCGTAAGATGATGTACAAAGAGTAACCGAGACTTGATGTCGGTTGGATCCAAGCCCTGCCATGGTGGATTGTCCGTGGAAAATCAGGTCCGGATGTATTCCTGATATTCAGGTCCTGATGATCAGGTCTTGTACTCAAGAATGACGACTCTGTCCTCTGGTTTTGAAGTCTAATCCCTGTTGGTCTCGGTTGCTCCACGCCACCGTTTCTCCAATTGCACCGTCAGAGACAAAGGGGTGATACCTTGTGGTCCGGTCTGTCCAGGAATCTCTAAGCAGTTTGATCCGAAGAAGAAATAAATGGTAAATGTTATTGTTTTTTGTGAAATTTAATCTAAGAGGCCATGGTACGTGGTATTTTGAACGTATTAATACATTACGAAATCTATGAACATCTGTATTTTCCTTGCGTATTGTAATTGTAAGGACTTCAAAACAATCATTTTCCAGGTGATGGGGAAGGGGCATATGTAGAATACAACCCATTGACATGCCACTCGATTTTAACGGATTCGTTGTCGGAGTGACTACTTTCAACAACCTTGTAGAAACATATAATGGATATACCTAGTCTTAGTGAACATTTAGGATAATCATTGCGATATTAAAACAGACATAACAAGTAATCGGTTGATCAACTGAACCTCACCGTTCTCCACACACTCTTCTACATTGGTTGATTGGGTATTTGGCGATGTCGCTAGGACATCATTGGTCTTCCTTGGTTGCAATCTCCGATTTCAAGTACCACTCGATTGTCTACTTACGACATGGGGGAAAAAGAAAAGCAAACAGATCTTAATTGGATTGGACCGAGCATTAACTAAATACATATGTTTTTCAGCGAATAGCTTAGACTACCATTTAGTACTAAGATAGTGTAATAATAATCATAAACCAATGATATTTGTGGCTTCTTGCAAAGAAGTGCATGACCGTAGCTCCTTTATTTCTTGACTGACACCAATATCAATTCTACTTTTTATCTGACAATCTTTTTTATGAGTATATTAATATCTTTATTTTTGATAATTTTCGACCTCTTACGGGATGACTAGACCGCGTTCTCTGTATTGGTTTTGCAGTATAGGAAAATATTTGGTAGGTTCAAAGCTCATGCAAACTGGTAAAGTGTAATCCAGCTATTACATACACATATGTGTACATAATACGAATACAGAGGAAGAGCTATACAAACGATTTGTATTTTCTCTACATACATTTCACAGCACTGATTACATGTGTGATAACATATTCCAGACGTCAATTGATTTTACACTGTAAGCGTTATTGTACGCCTTAGCTACCAAGCTACAACCCCCCCCCCCCCCCAACACGGGTTATTTGCTAAGTTATGAAAAAAATGATAGCAGGGTCTACTACTAAACACTGCCAAATGCAGGCAGAGTCGATCAGAAAAATGACTATAATTATTTGGGTAATTAATTACCCAAAGATTGAGGCAATTTCATTACCCATTATTTCATTTCTTATTATCATTATACGGCTTCATGCACGCACTTCTAAAATTATCGTATTAGTATAAAATCATATACATACCTCGAATTTGATGAATGCGTGTACATAACGGAAACTAAGATAGTCTATATACACACGTAACACTGTACATGAATGTAGGGCCTACATACAGAAAACGGTTATCCTAAAGAAACGGGGAATTCCCGCGGTCACCCAGAACATTCCAAAAATTAGTCGCCCTCCCAGCCTGTGACTGTATGCATTGTTTCTAATAAGAAAATAAAAATTGTACACCTATACAACTGTGGGTATAACTATTTTCCACTCAGCCTGTGACTGTTAGCATTGTTTATAATAACAAAATTAAAAAACTTGTCCACCTATTAAACTATGGGTATAAATTATTTTTCATACCTTCAAATTGTCTTTAGAATAATACAAGTGAAACTAACAAGCCTACATCCCATGCCAATGAGCTATATAGACTGAAAAGTCTGCTTATAATCCGTTTACTAATGTTTTTCAAAAATATATAAACTAATCACTTGACTTTTGCATCTAATTCGCCTGCTAAACATAATAATATGGCTTTAGATGAAATGCATGTTTTTTTTTACACTATCTGATGCTAGGTTTGACAAGTCTCTGGAAAGATGTGGGGTTGTCAAGATTATTTTTTTCAAATGCATGCATAAAATTAGTAAAAGGTCTATTCTATCATTTCAAAGTATTAAATTAGTAATCAATTTCAAAGTCGTGGATCCGGGGGGCATTAGACTATGTCGCACTAACTGCTCATGGTCAAGCAACCTATCTATCTACTTATCTATCCCCTTTTCTCTCTCTCTCTCCCTCACCTATTTTTTTCTCTCTCTCTTCCACTTTTAGATGTAACATGTTGTATTTTGTTTCATTTATCTTTATGTCTCAGTCAGTCTAGCGTATGTGTTTTCTATTTTTGTTTTTCCTGTATATAAAGTCAGTAGTTTAGTTCAGTGAAGCTACACGCAACAAGCATATAGCTATTGAGTATAGGTTCACTTTCGATCATTTTTTTTTGTCTAATGATTTACAGAACGTTCTTTCATGTTATTATTTAGTATGATTCAGTATAATTTATTTCTACATTTACTTTTCTAAATGTAAATGTGTTGTAAAATATATTATGCTTTAATTTTTTGCATGAAATATGAATAAAAGCAACCAACCAATCAATCAATCGATTATGATAATGTAATTTAGCATGCGGTGTGTTGGTCGGCCCTGCATCGGCCTCGTCGGTATGAGTGGGGTATCGTATTAATATTGCAAGCCTGAACCTTCACATCTTCGGTGAATGTCAACAATCAGTTTTTACACTATATCACCTCATAACTTCAACAGCCACTGATATGTCAGATAGGTTCCAGTTTCGGCCGACAAGAAAAAGTGTTAGAAGATGATATTTTATAAAAGCCTGTGACGTCGCCAGACGCGTACGCAGGGGGGGGGGGTGTGGGTTGAACCCCCTCCTTTGGTATTTTTTATGTGTGTATTTTGGAGGAACCCCCCCCCCTTTTTTATTATAAAAAAATTAAAAAATTAAAAAAAATTTATACCAATGGCTGACCTAAAAAAGTTGACCTTACCCCCCCCCCCCTCAACGGAGCAAAATGTCAATTTTTCAATTTTCGAGACCCCCCCCCCCCCCCCCCCCCCCCCCCCCCCCCCGCCAAAAAAAAAAAAAAAAAAAAAATATCCTCTTACCACCCAGCCAGAGGACAGAGTCGTCATTCTGGGGTACAGGACCTGATCATCAGGACCTAAAAATCAGGAGTACATCCGGAACTGATTTTCCACGGACAAGCCACCATGGCAGGGCTTGGATCCAACCGACTTCAAGTATATATATGTCCTATAAGAAAAATAAGGGCAACTTAACATTCTATAAAACAATAACATAGCAACAAAACCAAAAGAAAAAAAAATCCAGAATATATGTATTCTTTATTGTATTGATATCGCACTGTATGCCTATTACGAAAATATCATGAGACTTTAAAGCAGTTGAGTATAGCTATAATTGTTTTCCCTCTCTTTATTTTTAGCACCACTCTTTTGATAAAGCACTTGTGATATACATGTATATTCATCGTACAACAATAATAATGAGATCTACGTGTAATTTTGGACATTCGAAACAATAACCGGGAACCTGTACAATTATTGATGGGCCACTTGTTGACATAATGATATTCCCAACAACAATGGTAAACTGTTATATATTTTTTTAATATATATACAGTACGATGTACGTGTGAGCAGACTGAGTAATTACCATGGAAATCTACAAAGGAACCACTACAAAAGAAAGAATTAAGATAAGTTCAACCGAAAGGGTGAATTTACATACTATCTACGATTTCTGAACTGAATGAAATATACAATGCCGTTTTAAAGTTACACATTTCTATTAATCACAGGGATATACCACTGTATATGCATACATTTAATATCTACTTATAACTCTGTCAAATTCAAGATATATAATGCAGATATTAAAAGGCACAACAGCACTTTTTCCCTGTAGTGTCATCAGTATAATCATACAGGTTAGTGCTAAAATCCTGTTTCCCAAAATGTATTCCATCAAGAGAGAAAGTATGTTTCACAATTTGTTTAGCACCAGGATATGGAGAATCGATACATTTATTAATCATAAAGTGTACATAAACACTTACAAGAAATCGGTTATTTCAAGGCAAAGCATTGAATGAATATTTTAGCACATTGAGCTGACAAAATAAGTTAAGGTCCAAATGGGCGAAATACAGTGTCACTATTACTATAAAGTTGATTTAAGTATGTCGTGAAAATACTGCATCATCGGAGGTTGTATGCTTAATGCCCACGATACAGTTCCAATTGTTACGTTTCCATACTCTAATGAAATGAATAGCCAAGAAAAGCATTTCATGCAAAGTAGCTCCTAATACATGATCAACATTGAAATAATACAGAAATATAAAAATATATATTTTTTTAAATAAAAACATTTACTTTCAGCAATGTGACAGTCACAAGCGTTATGTTTTCAGGAAAATATCATCAAATCGAGTCCATCGCAACGACATCGGGGGGGGGGGGGGGGGGGGGGGGCAAGGTCACTTTTTTTTTAAAATTAAAAAATAAAATTTAGAGAGGGGGGGGGGTTCCATCAAAAATCACACACATTCAAAAATTTGACGGGGTGTTCGACCCCCCCCCCCCCCCCCCCCGCGGCGTATGCGCCTGGGTACGTGAATTGCGTTATTTAGTCTACATTACAGGCGAAGCAAATGAAAGTCTTAAACATTGTTTTAAAAATTAACAAAAACTAAAATAGATCATTCTTTATTTACTGTATATCTGCATGATTAAACTGTTCATAATTATGTACAATGTAAATTCAACATATCAAAAGTATAAGGAAAATTTGCAGTTATTAAGTGTATCAGACGCGAGCTATTATCAATTTCTGCATCCTCGTTGGGAATCCATTACCTTAGATGTAAGGATATGCAATTACTTTTGACGTATGTTCAATGACCCGAGACCTTTGACATATATACAGTGTCAACTAAACAGAGCCTAAGACAAGAAATCACGTAATTTTGTGAGTGATGAGTGGGTATAAATGATTATGTATGAGGGGGTGCGGTAATAACATGTATTATATAATATATCAGATGCCGTATATTATCAAATTTCGCGTCCGCGTAATGACCTTTGACGGCCTGTCACCATCTGGAACTGCTGGAAGAAACTAGGTTTCGAATCCGGTACCTTTTGTAGGCAGACCAGAGACCAGACCACTGGACCAACTTATTTACCTACATAAAAACATTTAGTCCTAAACCTACTTTAAATGAGGTAACCCGACTTCGTTTTCCGCTTACTTATCTAAAACATAAGCTTTTTCTACCTTCTACCTTCAATTCCTTGGTGGTTTCTTATTGGAATTCCTTGAAAATGTTTCCTAAGAACCTTTTGAATAATTCATGTTCAAAATTTTTCTCTTTGGGTTCAAGTCGCGCTTCTTCGAAGAAGAGTGTAAGTCGTGTCATATCTTCATCTCTCATTTCTATTTTGCCAGGGACCACCAGGCTTCCGCATATGATCACGGTGTCGACAAGTTCAAATGTCAAAGGTTGTGACCTCCTGAGCGATTCCATCCTGGCATCAAGGGTTTTAGTTTTGCAGTCGCTTAAATCGTGAACAATTACGGCCAGCTTCTTCTTTCCTAAAATTGTGAAGGAACAAAGAG